ACACACACACACACACACACACACTGATACACACACTCATACACACACACACACACACTCAGCATTTCTCTTCCTACCCCCAACTCTAACGTGTGTATATTGCGTGTGTGTTGCAGGGTATTTCGGGTCAAAGGCTAAGCAAGGATCACGTGGAGGTTCTGGGTAACCTGACCTGCACACTCGACCCCGTCTACATTCAAAACTCTGATCCAGCCATCATTGAGAGCCTGAAGAACTGCCACGATCTGTCCGACGCTCAGATCAGCGCTGTGCAATCGCTGCTGCTCTCAGGAGAAACTGTCTATGGGTGAGAAAAATCATGTTTCTGAATGCAAAGAGCACTTCATTCATAGTTCAGTCATTCAAGGAACTCGAGTTCACTGCGACCATTAGAGTCACTGCACCGCACTGCACACAATATAAGACAAACATCAGAAAAGGGTTTATTCTGAGAGTTACTAACAATGAATTAAATAGATCTTTTACAATTCGTCTCATACAAACACTTAAATAATGTACTGCAAACTCAACTCAGAGTAAAGCGGTGCATTTATTCCTGTAAGGCTGTCTGCTGTTTGTGAAGCACTGTATAAATCAGTGAGGTATCGTGAGCAGACGAGTAAGAGTTGTGAGGTGTGTTGGGTTTCAGGAGCTCTTCTGCTTGGGATCAGCAGACGCTGGAGCGCCTCGACCTCATGCCGCTGTACTTCACTGACGACTTCTGGAGCCGCTTCAGCGCCGTGCGGACGCTTATTCTCTATTGAGCTCATTTGTTCCAGGTGTGTGAACTGCAGCTTTGTTTATGTGTGTGTGTGTGTGTGTGTGTGTGTGTGTGTGTTCCAGCCTGTGAAGAGGAAGTACATGAAGGTGTTCATGCCGTTTCTGAGGACGAGAAACACGGAGAAGCCGAAACTAAAGAAACTCTTTAGAAACTGCAACGCGTAGTTAGACGCTCGAAGCAGAATTGGACGCTCTACAGGTAAAAAACACACACACAACGACATATAAGAATGATAATATTACAGTTTTTTACAATCGCTAGGACACATTTCTCAATACTAAAGTCACTTTTTCAGAACTTCTCCTAATCGTCTTTCAACTTAACACAGCAGTTCATTTCACATTCAAAATGCACTAAAACTACCAAAACACGTCATTAATGTCTCAAATCAACTCATTCTTACATAACACTAGCAAAGGTTTTCACCAAACAAACACACTTTATCACTCACAACACAACAACCTAAAAAACACTAACAACAGGCAGCATTATGCATTGTTTTTTTTGTAAAATGTCTTTACAAAACAAGAATGATACTCTATACTAGGGGTTGAACTACTTCTGATTTTTTAAAGTCGAATTTTATGTGATGAAAGTCGAGTCGAAGTCGACTAGTCGCTGATGACGCCATTAATGAACAAGTAAGTCTGGAGCTGTGATAAACACCTTGTGCACAGCTATGGCAGATGACACAATGCTGCCCACACGGCTATTGCTCCTATAACAGCTTTTTTATCAGTTCTTTTGTCTTTGGGTCGTTATATTTCTCACAGATTTCTGCTCATTCTAAATCAGATGCAGATAAAGAAGCACATTCAGTAAAGATTTCATTCATATGAATGAATTAGTGAGAGCGATTGCGTGTGTGAATTAATTCTACTAGTAGTGAAGCTGTGGGATTTAGTTATTAAGAAATATATGCTTGAACTTTTCAGTTTCTAAGCTATTTTATTGAGAAATCACAGAACAGTGTTGACAATACATTTCCGCGCTGAATGTTTCTGCGAGTGTGATGTACGCGCTACTGTCTGTAGCCTATGTGTGTGCGTTACAGTGCAGCAGCACATTAGATCAGAACGGCGATTAACTTACCTGTACAATAAGCTGTTTAAAACGTGCATTCTCCCGTTCAATTTCGAGCATCCAGTAATATAAATCACACGTCTTGTGGAGCGCTTTCAGAGTATGCATTTATTTGTCATTTGAACTGTTTGGAAACGGAGCGTAAATGTGGAAGTCCTTCAAAGATTTCTAATCCTGTTGCGCCCTCTATAGGACCAGCGACTAGTCGACGTCAAGCTTAAAAGTCGACGACAAGCTTAAAGCGTCATGGCAGAGCATTGAAGTCGACCAGTCAATTAGTCGGTGCAACCCCTAATCTATACTGCTTATAATTCTCTACTGTTCTGAAAAAGTGACCTAAGTATTGAGAAATGTGTCCTAGCGATTGCAAAATACTGTAATATACTGCAAGCTGTACACTTTATAATTAAGATATTACGTGTAATTAAATTGATACTACATTATATACTTAAAGAATAATAGCTGCAAGCAGCATTGATGGAGCCAATCAGAAATGGATACGTTATTGCATATAACTTTTGACCAGTAGGTTATGCCGGCTTGATATTTGGTATATACTTTAAGAGCATGAAGATGATGATTGGTTTCAAGTTTGGTTTTAACAGATCAAATCATTGCAAAGATAAAGCCTGCCATCTACACCATCAGTTTTGGTATTTCATTGGCATTTAACAGGCAAACGGTTTTGAAAATCCAAGATTTTATGTATATAAATAACTGTGGATAAACCCTTGCTAAGGCATATGGAGCTCAGACAATCATAGGAAAATATAGCATGATGCTCCTTTTGATTATTAGTAGAGTAATAATAATAATAGGAAAACCAGGAAGCCTAAACTGGCCGCTAATAATAGCTGACTTGTAACAGTGAAACTCTGTGACATGAAGAGGAGTGTAGCTGTTACAGGATTGTTTGATGGTGTTGATGTTTGTGTCGGTCAGACTGCACTGCGGGCAACATCACCGAAGCCACGGTCGCAGACGCCTCGTTCCCCTTCGGCTACACCGCGGCCCAGTTTGACGCCTGTCTGGCCGTGAGGGTCCTCAGAGATAACCTGGCGGCGGTCACGGAGAAAGTGGATGACAACGATTACCAGAGAATCATTCTGAGCAAGCTGAAGCAGGTGAGCGAGACGTGCATCTCTGCCGCGTGTGGTCTGGCGAGCGTCGCTGTGTAACGCTGATGAACGCTGTGTTCCAGGTGTATCCCGCCGGTCTGTCCGACAGCGTGCTGCAGCTGCTCGCCTCTGTTTCACGACAGGCCACGGTGGAGGAGATCAGGACCTGGAACATCACCACCATCGACACGCTGACAGCACTGATGGACCAAAACAATGGAGAATGGGTCAAAGACAAGGTGTGTGTGAGAGAGAGAGAGAGAGAGAGAGAGAGTGTGTGTGTGTGTGTGTGTGTGTGTGTGGG